CTGTATCAATCTAGAAGTCTTCACATTTATCTATGTCAAGTATTTTTACAGATCTGCAGGTATAATTTTATTAATATTTAACTTGGATTAATCATTTATTTAGAGGAGTTTTCATATTGTATATTAGAGCAAACCCGATACTAACAAACAACACTTTGCACTTCTTCGGTCCCAAGCCTCCAAAGTGTTTTACAAACATTGCTGAAGTCTCACAACACTCCTGTGAGATATGGAAGTATTAACATAAGAACATAAGAGCAGTCATACTGGGTCAGACTAAAGGTCCATCTAGCCCAGTATCCTGTCTTCCAACACTGGCCAATGCCAAGTGCCCCAGGGGAAATGAACAGAACAGGTAATCATCAAGTGATCCATCCCCTGTCGCCCATTCCCAGCTTCTGGCAAACAGAGGCTAGGGACACCATCCCTTCCCATGCTGGCTAATAGCCATCGATGGACCTATTCTCCATGAATTTACTAGTTCTTTTTTGAACCCTGTTATAGACTTGGCCTCCACAACATCGTCTGGCAAAGAGCTCCACAGGTTGACTGTACGTTGTGTGAAAAAAGACTTTGTTTTGTTTGTTTTAAACCTGCTGCCCATTAATTTCATTTGGTGACCCCTAGTTCTTGTGTTATGAGGAGTCAATAACTCTTCCTTATTTACTTTCTCCACACCAGTCATGATTTTATAGACTTCAATCATATCTCCCCTTAGTCGTCTCTTTTCCAAGATGAAAAGTCTCAGTCTTATTAATCTCTCCTCATACAGAAGCTATTCCATACCCCTAATAATTTTTGTTGCCATTTTCTGAACCTTTTCCAATTCCAATATATCTTTTTTGAGATGGGGCAACCACATCTGCATGCAGTATTCAAGATGTAGGTATACCATGGGTTTGTATAGAGGCAATATATTTTCTGTCTTATTATCTATCCCTTTCTTAATGATTCCCAACATTCTGTTTGCTTTTTTGACGGCCGCTGCACATTGAGTGGATGTTTTCAAAGAACTATCCACAATGACTCCAAGATCTCTTTCTTGAGTGGTAACAGCTAATTTAGACCCCATCATTTTATATGTATAGTTGGGATTATGTTTTCCAGTGTACATTACTTTGTATTTATCAACACTGAATTTCACCTGCCATTTTGTTGCCCAGTCACCCAGTTTTGAGAGATCCTTTTGTAGCTCTTCGAAGTCTGCCTGGGACTTAACTATCTTGAGTAGTTTTGTATCATCTGCAAATTTTGCCACCTCATTGTTTACCCCTTTTTCCATTTATGAATATGTTGAATAGGACTGGTCCCAGTACAGACCACTGGGGGACACCACTATTTACCTCTCTCCATTCTGAAAACTGACCATTTATTCCTACCCTTTGTTTTCTTTTAAACAGTTACCGATCCATGAGAGGACCTTCCCTCTTATCCCATGACAGCTTACTTTGCTTAAGAGCCTTTGGTGAGGGACCTTGTCAAAGTACACTCTATCCACTGGATCCCCCTTGTCCACATTCTTGTTGACCCCTCAAAGAATTCTAGTTGATTGGTGAGGCATGATTTCCCTTTACAAAAACCATGTTGACTCTTCCCCAACAAATTATGTTCATATATGTGTCTGACAATTCTCTTCTTTACTATAGTTTCAACCAGTTTGCCTGGTACTGAAGTCAGGCTTACCAGTCTGTAATTGCCGGGATCACATCTGGAGCCCTTTTTTAAAAATTGGCATCACATTAGCTATCCCCCAGTCATTTGGTACAGAAGCTGATTTAAATGACAGGTTACACACTACAGTTGTACAATTTCATATTTTAGTTCCTTCAAAACTCTTGGGTGAATACCATCTGGTCCTGGTGATTTATTCCTGTTTAGCTTATCAATTTGTTCCAAAACCTCCTCTAATGACACCTCAATCTGGGACAGTTCCTCAGATTTGTCAGCTAAAAAGAATGGCTCAGGTTCGGGAATTTACCTCACATCCTCAGCAGTGAAGACCGATGCAAAGAATTAATTTAGTTTCTCCGCAATGGCCTTATCGTCCTTGAGTGCTCCTTTAGCATCTCGATCGTCCAGTGGCCCCACTGGTTGTTTAGCAGGCTTCCTGCTTCTGATGTACTTAATTTTTTTTGCTATTACTTCTTGAGTCTTTGGCTAGCTGTTCTTCAAATTCTTTTTTGGCCTTCCAATTTTTACACTTTTTATACTATTTTTACACTTCATTTGCCAGAATTTATGTTCCTTTCTATTTTCCTCACTATTTAACTTCCAATTTTTAAAGGCTGCCTTTTTGCCTCTCACTGCTTTTTTTACTTTGTTGTTTCGCCACAGTGGCACCTTTTTGGTTCTCTTACTATGTTTTTAAATTTGGGGTATACATTTAAGTTAAGCCTCTATTATGGTGTCTTTAAGAAGTTTCCATGCAGCTTGGAGGGATTTCACTTTTTGCACTGTACCTTTTAATTTCTGTTTAATTAACTTCCTCATTTTTGTGTAGTCCCCCTTTCTGAAATTAAATGCTACCATGTTGGGCTGCTGTGGTGTTTTCCCCACTACAGGGATGTTAAATTTAATTATATTATGGTCACTATTACCAACCGGTCCACCTTTTGGACCAGATCTTGTGCTCCACTTAGGACTAAATCAAGAATTGCCTCTCCTCTGGTGGGTTTCAGGATCAGCTGCTCCAAGAAGCAGTCATTTAAGGTATCAAGAAACTATCTCTGCATCCCTCCCTGAGGTGATATGTACCCAGTCAATATAGGGATAGCTGAAATCCCCCATTATTATGGAGTTTTTTATTTTAATAACCTCTCATCTCCCTGAGCATTTCACAGTCACTATCACCATCCTGGTCAGGTGGTCGGTAATATATCTCTACTGCTATATTTTTATTATTAGAGCATGGAATTACTATCCATAGAGATTCTATGGTACAGTTTGGTTCGTTTAATATTTTCACTTCATTTAATTCTACACTTTCTTTCACATATAGTAGAAATGGTCACTCCTGCACCAGAATGACCTGTTCGGTCCTTCCGATATATTTTGTACCTTGGTATCACTGTGTCCCATTGATTATCCCCATTCCATCAAGTTTCTGTGATGCCTATTATATCAATATCGTCATTTAATACAAGGTACTCTAGTTCACCCATCTTATTATTTAGACTTTAGCATTTGTATATAAGCACTTTAAAAACTTGTCATTTTTTAGCTGTCTGCCATTATATGATGTAACTGAATGGGACTTTTTTCATTTGACTGTTTCTCGTCCTACCTGTATTTTATCATCTTCCATCCTCTCCTCACTAGGACATAGAGAATCTCCATTAATAGATACCCTAAGGGATACCTCTGTCTGAACCACGTGCTCCTCCGCACCTGTCGGCTTTCCCTCAGCCCTTAGTTCAAAAACTGTTCTACAACCTTTTTAATTTTAAGTCCAGCAAAGGATTAAGCCTAAACAGGCCTAGATTTCCCATAACAAATCAATATGTTCATGGCACTGCTGGCTCTTTGTCCTTCCAAAGCAATCTCCCTAGTTCCTATGGTGGAATCCAACATTCTCCCTCCATACAAATAATTCAATCCGAGCACTGTGGGTTCATGTGCACATTTATCCAGCTCAAGACCCAGATCCTGCCTGAGTCTATCCTGCTAAATCTCTGTTTACAGATGTGGCAACAGAGGTTAAGCGGTTGCAGAGAGTTATACAGCAAGTCTGTAACAGAGCAGGGATAACAATCCAACTCTCTCAAATCCATTTTCTGTGCCATCAGACAGACCTTTTTGGGAATGCTGTTGGTGACTGGGAGGTTTGGAAATTATGATGATAGATTAAAGCATCAATAATTTGGTCCCTTTTCAATTTCCACAACTGGGATTTGGGGTCAGATGGGGGCAGAACTATGTAACTAGACTGTGTTTAGCAGGTAAAAGTATTATGGAATCTCTATTTTAGCAGTGTTCTCTTCTATTAGCTGGTCCGACTCACCTCTGAGATATCTTCCCTTGAATCTGCTGATGTTACTTTATTTTTTTTAGACTGTTCAGACTGAGTTTGTACATATTCTCAAGGGGTTACACCTCTACCCTGATATAACGCGACCTGATATAACATGAATTCGGATATAACGCAGTAAAGCAGTGCTCCGGGGGGGGGGGCGGGGGGAGCTGAGCGCTCCGGCAGATCAAAGCAAGTTCGATATAATGCAGTTTCACCTATAACACGGTAAGATTTTTTGGCTCCCGAGGACAGCGTTATATCGGGGTAGAGGTGTACTTGCAAAAAGTTATCAGATTGCTTTTTCAAACCCAGTTTGAAATGCTAGGCAGAAACTGTGTGTATTTAACTCTCCAAGTCCCTCTCATTCCGCCAAACTTGTTAACACATCTCCGGTGAGGTAGAGCTCAGAACTAAAGGGAATCCCTCGGGTGTCCCTTCCCCCGATCAGCACGGACAGGGGCATCCCTTATCCAATCAGACCTCTGGGCAGAGTTCCTCTGGGCAGTGTCCAGACACCTCAGAGACCTGGGAGAAGCAGCTGGTGCTGTCAGGGGTTCTCTGCTGGGTGTCACCTCCGGATCCCTGATTTTCAGCCTTTGATCTCACTGCCGTCCCTGTTGTTTCATATGTTGTCCCTGGTGTTCAGTGGTGGCCTGGGTCTGATGGCTCTTCCCCCAGCCCAATTTGAGGGGGCCTCGATCCCCGTCCCAGGACTCACAAACAGAAGGGACAGGGGCAGCGACCTCCCTGCTTTCGGACCCGCCACCTTCCCTGCGATCCAAGACACACCGGCCTCCTGCTGACCAGCACCTCGGGTCAGTCCCGCTGGCGGCGGCCGCTTTGTCCAGCGTCCCGCTGGCCAGTTATTTCCCGGCCTCTCTCGGGGGAGGGGCGCACGCCCCGCGGGGAGGGTCCCGTTACCCGCCTATGGCCGGGCCCCGGCGCCCCTCACGCTACCCAACCCGGCAGCGGGCTCCCTCCTACTCACTGCGCGGCGGCGGGAGGTGGCGAGGGGCTAATCCTCGGGGAAGCCCCTGTTCGCTTCGCTCCGGTGCCCCCCGGGCCACGCTCCTCTTGCCGCAGCCCCCGAGTTTGTTTTTTTTAAATCAACTGACAGCATCGCAGCCAATCAGATCACTCCTTCTTCGGAGACGCCGAGTTCCCCGTCCAATCGCTGTCCTCCTTGCTACAAGGTGCCGGGCACCATAGAGACAGCTAAACGCCGCCGCTGTTGCCATGGCCACAGCAACGCTCCGGGGTCAAGCTCGGCCAAGTAACTCGGTGGGATCGGGTCACTGTACTGGGGCTAGGGGCCCCGAGCGGGTGCAGGGCAGCGGCTTCCCCCAGGTGGGGCCCAGGAGCGAAGCGGCGCTGGCTCTGGGCGAGCTCGGAAAGAGGAGGGAGGCAGCCCGGCCTGCTCCGGCCGCCTCAGCGCCCCGGGGGTGGCATGCGCGGGGGCGGGAGGGTGCTGGGAGCATAGAGCGCTGCGGCCCCTTCCCCCCCGAGCCGCTCTCTCGCCCCGACGCGCGGGTCCCCGCCGCTGGAAGCGCTCCGACCCCGGTCCCGCTGAACCAAGGCACAAAAATCCCATTCAGAGCGGGACTACGCCCCAAAGGGGTCCGCTCTAAAACACTCTAATAGCTATGCTTATTTGCAACTTATTGCCCTTAAATACAGCCAGGCTCCGGGCCCACCAGGAGTTACCGTCTTTAAAATTTCCATACAGTTAGTTCAAGCAGTTACAGGACCTGCAACTCAAACACTGCAAGGTCCCTCCCCCCCCCCAAAAAAAACCCCAACTTGGCGAAATTTTATCTACATAGGTTTTCAATCCACACCAGTTATCCAACTCATAAAGAGGCTAAAATTAAAATAAGTATTTATAATGGAAGGTGGAAGTACGTGGTGGCATGCTTTTAATAACTGTATTGAAATTTACTGTACACAGTAAATCAGAAGAAACCTGTCTTCCCTGGAAGCCATAGTCTTTTTGGTTATTTGGTTGGAAATTTTGGTTATTTCATTTTAACACACCTAATCCAGTTTTGATTGAGTACTCATAATTTGGGCAATTTCTAAATCTGGTTAGAAAGTCATAAATTTAACACTTACAGAATCATTCTGTCAGAATGTCATAAAATACAGACTAATTCTGGCACATTTACAGCACAACAGATATAGATTATTTGCTCAGATACTTAGTGCCTGTCTACACATGGAGTTATTCTATAATAGCTATTCAGGAACAGCTATTCCATAATGTGTGCACACATGGAGTTATTCCAGAATAACTTTCATGTGTAGACAAATAGAGCACACACATCACTCCATAAATCAGAAAAGTCTGCAAATGTCAGCAGATGCAACACATTATTTTTCAAGGCTGTCTGTCCCTTACCAGAAAGAGAGAGAGAGAGAGAGAGAGAGAGAGAGAGAGACTGGAACAGCTTTATAATCAGTGCCATTAATCCTGTACTTGACATTTACATATTTGCATGGAAGTAGAAATTAAAACATTTAATTCAGTTCAGTAGATTTTTATTGCTTTTGCCAACTTTTTGAAACATTACAAAAAATAACTTTCTTCTAATCACAATTAAACAAATTACAAAGGCTGGATCTTTTACATTAGAGACGTCAGAGAATTTTGTGTACTTCATATAAACTTAAAACATTGTTTCTCCATATGGAATAATGTTTAACTTGCTTTGGGTTTTATTATAAAAGTAAAAGCATTATTTTTTTATTTAGAAAAGCAGTCATAAAAAGTTGGAACTGTATTGTATGTAATTACATCACAAGTGACCAAATATAATGAATACTAAAATTAAAAATGTTGTTCAGTTAAATGTGCTGAACATTGGAAGACATAAAAAACAATGTGAATCACATATCAACAACAGAAGGGAAAAAAAGGTTATAAATGCCATGTCGTCTTTTACCAATAAGTCACTATTTAGAAAAACCCTGGATGTCTGACACATTACTGCAAGAACTCCAAATAAGTGTCAATATGTACTAAATTCAATATGAAAAAGTCTTTAGGTTAATATCAATTCCAACTAAAAGTTTTTCCTACAGTTGACAATTTTACTAAAAAAAGTTACAAAATAAAATTCATTTTTAATTAAAATCACTAGGCAAATTTCTTTTGCATTTATAACACTACTTTTTCATAGACTCAAAACTGTGTGCCTGTAGTCTTAAATTTATTTTCTATAAAATAAATTACTGTTGATATAAACAAGCCACCCTTCACACACTCATACTATGCTAGATAATGGATGTGACCTAGAGGAGTAATTTTAAAACACTGAATTACTAATCATATGAAACAAAAGCAAATTAGAATCAACATGTGGTGTTAATGCCCTACAAATTCTACGTTTGTGAATTTAAAACAATATGAACCAATTAAGTTATTTTGCATTTACAGAATTTATGTACAACATATAACCCTTTATTATGCTACAGGCTCTGTTACATTACACCTATTTATTACAGTTATATTTGATAGCACTTTGAATCTGCCTTTGCAAAGGGAAAACTTTAGAAAACTACTGTTTACACAGATAAATGCATTTGAAATGAAAGATACTGGGAGAGGTTTTGTTAAACATAAGAGAAATAGTTAATACGTTTGGCTGAAAAAAACCCAAAACACTAGTGGCTCTAAATTTTGTCCTACAAGTTTTGTGATGATAAACTTGGCAACCTGGAACATTTTGCATTTTTTACTTAAAAAACCATATACATTAAAACAAAGAGGAAAGTATAATTAACTTGGGCACATCTAAAACAGAATTAGAAATGTGTTTCTTGTAATACATAAGAAAATACTAAAAATGAGTTTTTCTAAAGTTAATGTTTAAAAATGACTGCTTTGTAAATGAGACCTTTTAGGGGATATTTGAATTGAGTGGTCAAAATTAAGACCTATATTTACGTAAACATACATCTTTATAAATAAATTAAAAAGGATCAAAAGGAATTTCCTGAGGTGGCTCTGCAGCCAGATACACAGTAGCATTAAGCTCCATCCCTGGCAAACAAGGCATCTAAAAAGTGCAGGGCTGGTTTTTTTATTCCATTGTTAGAATGGAAAAATATTGGCTTAATTTTAAGTTTTACCCCAAGATAACTCAGTGTACAGTAATTATCACTGCTCATTTACACCTACTAAGGGAACATTTATATATATAAGTACAGGAAACTATGTCCTTCACTATTTTACTTTAGCTGTATACATGATTTTTTTTTTTTTAATGCAGAGAAGGAAACAACATTTATACAAAGTAAAAAATAAGCAGTAAATTACTTAAACATAAGTTACCACTGGGTTTTTATGCATGTAATACCATGTCTGATTCTGATGTCCAGTGGTTAAAAAGAAGTGAGAATATAACACATTATTAACCAAGAACATTGGAACAAAATGTAAACAACTTTGCAAGTCATGGTATTTCTGGCACTGATTAATTATTTACATTATTCAACAGAATTAAAGGAATACTGTGATTCTAAGAGAATTCCAAATTTTTACTTTAAATTGAAAAATACCCACTTCCTGTAAAGTAGCCAAAACTTATTAACTCTTTGGCAATGGAAACCAGATGCAAAATGTTCAGTGTCATGAAACCCTGAACTCTGGCATTAAAGGGTTAAAAATCTCAAGACCTGTGATGTCGGTTTGGGTCTTTGGAAACTGTTGTGCAGCTGTGGACATGGAAAAATAAAATGCTAAAGGAAGACCAGTAAGTAAAAAAAGCACTGTGGATAATGCTATGTACACTGGCAGAGAAGTTTTTATTCTCCTTCTTGACTATATCAGAAAGAAGATACTTAACAGTCAAGAGTTGACTTGCAGACATGGACTTCATTCTTTGTGAGGTTTGAGGAGAATTTGGGAGAGAGAGCCATAATTCTACTATATATCTTATTTCAACCAGAGGAAAAACATGTTCCTTGAAGGAGCATATGTTCAGGCTAAGAAACAGGCCAAACACACACCCAGGAATGAAGAAACACCTATACTGTGCCTGACTCAATATTAGTCAAATTGATAGTGCAGACCTTATTTGATTTTGCTCAGACTTTAGCCATTATTGTGATGTCAGTTTGCATAGCATTATTCATACTGCTTTGTATTGTTGTTTGTGTCAAAAAACTTATTTTTTTCCCCTGGAATTCAGCCTAACCTCAGCAGCACCATTTTACTATATCATGATTACAATTAAAGGGGATGGTAATCTATGTAAAGTTTAACTTTTTAGTGTAACTTTAATGCCACTAGCAATATTTCCACCATACCCAATTACTGTTTTTAGTTTTATTGTAAAATTATCCTCACCCCAAATTGCCAGCACCCAGCTCCATGTTAAGTAGTATTTTGAAAAACATTGCCTTGGCTTAATTCTGCTCCCTTTGAAGTTAATGAGAGCTGAAGCATAAAATCAAAGGTAAAACTCTCATTAATTTCAATAGGAGCAGCAGATTTAAGCCAAAGGTGGGTGCTTTTGAAAATAGTTGCCTCTATTTTTAATATATGTCGTTTGTACTTAAAACTATTATGGGCCTAGCAAATGCTGTTAGCAGCTCAAAATTTAGATAAATCATTTGAGAAAATAAAGAAACACCAAAAAAACCCCAAGAATAAGGCAAAAAACATCAACAGTGAAAACAGGTAAGTGATCAAGATTTTGATCTTTACATAAAATTAAAACATTTCCTCAAATACAAATGCTCACACTAAACATTGCAGGGGTTGGAGATACCAGTACAATAACTTAGTTCACTGAGAATGCAGTTGATGTGTTCCATCTAAATGTCCGAGGACCCCAATAAATCAAATTTACTTTAGTATACAAATATTAACTTTTTCAAATTTGGTTTACACAGCATTAAGATTCATACCAATTAAAATAAATAAAACATTTTTAAAAAAATTGAGGTTAATATGCTACCAAATATGCCCTTTAAAATGGAAAGGATCAGAACTGTAAACACAAAACCCAAGGTAATTTGTAATCCATAAAATACTGGTCATAAAGC